TCTCCACAATAGTCATTTTGTAACTATGCTAATGTTTACAGTTTAATATTCACTATCATATAATATAATCGATCTTATAATTATCACTTGTATAAGTTAAATCATTTTTTAATTAAAAAACAACATTTTAGACAGCCGCTTAAGCAAGGTTAGTTTATTGGGAGTAGTTTTAATTTTAATTAAAAAAATGTACTTTTGTCCCCCAAAAACTTAGCGTGCACGGAGACAATGATGTTTTCCCTCGTATATTTATTACTAGAAAAAAACATATATAGTTCAGTAATATTCAATCTTCTTGAATTATAATTCTACAGCAATATACATTATATTAATTAATCCCCATAGCTAGTTACGTACGCTAACAAAATCATATACAAATAATAGAATATTATGTTAGATCAACTCCTTTTAGTCATGACTTATTGGTCATATTGAATAACTGATTCATTAATAGATCTTTCTCGATAATTCATTTAACATTTTTTTTCACCGTTTTATTTCAAAGGAATAAATTAAAATCGAATTCACTCTTCAAGAAACTGTGATATCATTTTTTATGTGTGTATATATATATATATATACTTGTCTTTTATCCATGAAACATGGCCTAATTATCCAATTAATTAACAATAATACTAAAGTAGAAAGCTTAATGAAATATTATTAGTGGTTTAATTTTGAGTAAGTCACGTGCTGAGAGCGTGGTATGTCCATATATATGATTGCTCAGTCTGTCAGCACCCCTAATAATGTTACCCACCTCTCCATGTGTATTTATCATGATGATCACCTTCTTTTAATTATACTATAAAATATAAATTAATAATTATTCCTTTTTGGTAATATAATATAATTTATTCTTCAATTAAGTGTCTCTTTTAATTTTTGGGTAGATGAGTGTCAGTAATTAATAACTTCATAAATTTAATAACACAGAATATAAAATTACCTTTTCAAATATTAGATTTACTAATGGTCTTTTCGAAAGTCTATCAAAAATCGTTTCAATTCTTAAAGATAGTTTCTTTTTTGTTATTGTAATTTGCATACATTATATACTCTTTAAATCTCACTTATAAACGTAGAATTACAATGAATATGTTATTGTAATGGCCTTCAATGACATTTTGACACCTTGATAATGAGGCGATTCTTTGTCAGTTCAAATAAGAGATAATTATTATAATTAGCCATTCAAAATAAATGTGAATTAGTTATTTGATAAAAAAAATATTAATTAATTGTCCTATTACAACAAGTTAATATAGTATTATTATTCTTATGAATGTATATAAATTAAATCATTTTTTCAAATATGGTACCACCAAATTATTAAAATTCATGTTCATTTTCTAGTGAGATGAAATTGAGTATCAAATAATTATGGATATATTTTATGAGTAGATTAATTGACAAAGTATAACTTTACATCACAAGCTTTAAATTGGGGTTCCTAACTTGATTAGCTAAATGTATAAAGCTTTTTAAATTTAATAACCAAACTTTTAAGAGACCAAATCATGAATTAATTGATCTTCAACTTTGGTTCTTGATCATCAATATGTGAATTGAACATGAACATATTTCTTTTTTTCATTTTAAAAAAAGGTATAAAACGAATGAGTGAAATCCAAGTATTGAAAAAGGCAATTACTCCCATTTATTTGGTTGCCTTATAAATCCCTTTCAAGTTTAAAGCACTTTAATAGACAGCCATGTGATTTTATCAGCCTTTTCCATTCTTCTCTTTTTTCAGATGGTATCCGATAATTTTATCGGTCTTCGACTAATTTAAATTTGTGTCACGTAAGATTAATAATTTGTTTTCTTTTCCAGGGATCTAACGAATAATTCAGATTCGTGTCATGTAAGATTGATCATTTGTTTTCTTATTCAGGGCTCTAATGATTCAAATCGACTAGTTCAAATTCGTGTCATGTAAATTTAATTTATTTTCTTATTCTGGACTTTAACTCAAAACTGTTAGTAATTAAAAATAGAGAGATCTTATTTGTCCCACCACAATTCTTATCGATAGTCCTTTTCGTTCAACTCTTATCATATTAGTATTTTTTTTCTTTGGAGCTAAAAAAAAGGACAATTATTTTCTTTTAAAAAAAAAAAAATTGGTGAGGGGAGAGCACAGAAAGAACAGGAAAAAAAACATTATATTTTGAATGTGGGATAACAGTTTTATCTGTGAGTTACGATTTAAATACGTGACGATCTTTTTAAAAAAAATGAATTTTCATTTATGACCACATTCTTTATTTTTAAAAATTCTCTATGATATTATTTTATCTGGTTCAGAAAAAGAAGAGTACTCTAGTTTTTTTATACTGAACTCTGACAATTAGATGACAATTAAATTAACAACAAATTGTACAAGCATCCCTATTATTTTATTTTATTTTGAAAATGAGAGAATATAGCATTATCCACATTCAACAAACCAAATTATTCTTTTCTATAACTTTTGTAGGCAAAAATTCATTAATCCAGTTAAATTTAAAAAATTCCATGTTAGTACATGACTTTCTACGGTAAGGCCAAGAAAGCAATCGCTTGGGGGTTACAAATTGAATGTTAACTAACTAGTTACTCGTATTATAGTAATTACACATGAATATAACCGAATGGATGAGAATTCACTATTCTTAATCATAGACTTAGACTCGAGCCTTGATAACAAAAAAAATTGTAAAGACTATAATATAAAACGTGAATTTAATTAGTTATATAGGTGAATTTTAAATATTAGATGGTTCAATAAAAAAAAAGGAAGATTGTGCATTATAGTAAATTATTAATTCACAATAAATGTTATAGATATAGTTTCATTTAATTTCTATTCGTAGCAAACACATTGCCATTATATTATCGCCTCTCTCCCCTGAATCTCGCTCTCCACTCTCAATTCTCTCTCTCGCCTCTCTCACTTTTATACAAATACAAATGTATAAATTGTGTTTGTGTTTGTATAAAACGAGAGAAACTATATATACAAATACAAATACATATCTCTCCATTTGATACACTTATAATTATATTGATACAAATATTCCCCTGCCCAGTGCTCTTTTGTCTTTTTCTATCTCGCTTTATACAAACACAAATTATACAAATACAATGTACAATTTGTGTTTGTATAAAGCGAGAAAGAGATTTGATATACAAATATTTTAACTCGATTCAATTGTATACAAATTCAAATTTTATGCAGATATACAAACACAATCATTGATACATATACATAGTAGTTAAATATATATATATATATATATAATTATCTAACATATATACATATACAATTCACCTCTCTCCACTTTCTGCCCTCTCTCGCTCGCCTCTCGCCAAATCTCGCTCGCCACTCTAGCCTAACACAAAGAACATATACATATACAAACACAATTTTCATAGACATAGATGTCCGATTTATACAAATCGCTGCGATTTATACAAATCACTACGATTTTATATAAATCAGATACCTGCGATTTAAACAAATCAGATGCTCCATAGTAACTATGTTTGTTATGGAACGCAAATAGCAAAATTGTAGTTATAGAACGCAAATATAATTTTTATTTTTGATATTCCTAAAATTTACTCTTAAAAAAATTAGTATGTTGTCACCAATTTTACTCTTCCCTCTAGATACTTTGCCTTCTCTTACTCCAAAGGTCAAGAATATAACTGTGAGTTTTTGCATTTCTACCCAAGCAAAATATTCTAAGAGGTACAAAATTATATGGACTTACTAACATTTATGGAAATTTATTTGCAAATAATGAAGGGAAGATATTATCAAAATTCATGATGGGTTTGGAGCTTAAAATTGACATTTCTCAAAAAGAAAGAAATAAACAAAGAAAAGGAGAATTTTTTTTAGACAAACTAGATTGACATTAATGTTAGTAACTAAAAAAAGAAAAGCAAAGTCCCCAAAGTAAAGCAAAGGGGTCACTCCTAAAGATGAAAAGGGTGATAAGCAAATGAAGATTGTGACGGAGCGATAAATATTCTATTATTTTTAATTAGAAATTTTGGATTTAAATTTTAAGTATAAAATTATCTTTAGTAAAAAGTGTTTTACCTTCAAAATGAGATTTCTCGTCTCGAACTCAAATTGGGTGGATCCCAAAACATATATCGGACATTGAGTGAAAAATTAAATTAAAAAAAGGCAATGGCGCACGTTAATTTATGGTGATACAGAAAGATGGGTTGTCTGGTAGCGTACGGCACTATGATGCACTTATTAGATGCGCATTTTAGCTTGCTTTTTCACAAAGCAAACTAATTTACCTTTCAATGCTCTTCACTCTTTCTCCACGAAACATATTATATTAAAGTTAAAACCAATTTAGAAATTTTAATTAACAAATACGTAATATGGTTACGTTAAATAATTAATTTTCGTGATAAAAGAGTTTTAAACTTAACATAAATATATAGTTTTAATTTTTTTTTTATACGAAATCCTTAATCCTAACTAACTCAATTTAAGAAAGTATATCCGATTAGTTGACTAATACTCAAAATTAAATAAAAAGATAACAATTCACTCCCTCAACCAATGCGAGACAATTATAATACCTCCTTACACAACTTGAAACTGTAACATGAATAATATAACATAATAATCCACCATTAGTTAAACTAAAAGTACGCTGAATCTAAGTCTCATATCATACTTTTGAAATCAACAATGAATTCATTGAACAAATCATGTATTGTGTCAAAAACTATAGGTGAAAGCAGTACTATATTGTTAATTTAATATTTTTCATATATATTATATATTTCTATTTAAAATTACAAAAGTATAATAAATATAAAATTTGAATATGAACCCATAATTCCAAAGTTCAATATGTCAAATTGTATAATTCTAAACATAAATATTCATAAAATTTAAATTCTGAATCTGTTTCCGAGTCTATCAGACAATATTTAACACATGAGTTCATTCCCCCATACTCTCTTTATTAACACAACACAAGTAGAACAAATTACAGTCCCCCCACCCCTGCTCCATCTCACTCTGTATGTGTGTGTATATATATATATGAAACAATACATTATATATATATACATATACATATGCAGGTCCTATTGTATCTAATAATGTTTGTTCTTGAGAAATGGTGAGTACGGATTATTGCAGAAGAAGAAATGGTGGGTTGGTGCTATTGACTTCACGCGGATCAAGAAAATGCTAGGATCCAACTCAACATTTTTTTGTCCTTTTTAGCCTATTGGGTCTCCAATTTTACCTCTTTCTTGAATTGAAATTCAATTTTTCAATTTTTCAATTTTTCACCATTGTTTCCCGCTTGTTCTGCATCTGCTCTGCTGCAATGAATTCATTCCTCTGAGCCTCTTATTCTCTCTGTTTTGTGTTTTTTCCTTCTGGGGTGTGAAAAAAGAAAGTTAAAAAGATGAATGCTAGAGTTAGAACCAGTCTGCAATCTATGAAAACTCCATCAAAGAATGTAAAGGTGAGATTTTTACTGAAATTTATGAGTAGAAAATTTCTGGGTGCTGATTTTTTTTTGTTTATCTTCTGGAAATTACCCAGAAAATTGTTTCTTTCCCAATGAAATATTGTTTTAAAAAAATGAATCTTTATTGTCTTGTTGAAGTTTAGATGATCTAATTAGCTTAAGGTAGATTTGGGTTTGTAATTTGTGTTTTTACAGAATTATTTAATATGAAAAAAAAAAGTGTGGTTTTGATTTGATACTTATCCACATCAGTTTCATATTGTTGTTTGCTTTTTCCTCCTTTTTATCTGGATGTTTGTGCTTTATGCTTTTTCCGTTACATCTATAATTCCTTTTTTGTTGAAGCTGAGTTTGTTTTCTTGTTTGAAGGAGAAAGTGGAAATGCAAGGAAACAGGAAAATGAGTACTGAGAAAACACCGATAAATAGACGAAAAGCAATCAGGGAGAGAAAGATGGCATTGTTACAAGATGTGTGTAAACTCATTTGATTCTTGAATTGTTTAGCTTTGCAGTGAATCTGTAATTGGTGTTTAACTTGTTATTGTTATGTGTAAATTGTAGGTTGATAAGCTAAAGAAGAAACTCAGGCATGAGGAAAATGTGCATAGAGCTCTTGAAAGGGCGTTTACTCGACCTCTCGGTGCACTTCCTCGTCTTCCTCCTTATCTTCCTCCAAATGTTAGTATTATCTGTTCTTCAATGATGTTGTTGCAATGTATATACAATTGATGTTGTTATAAGTTTGAAGATGAGATTTTCTTTGTTTCCACTTTGGGAATTGCAATTCTAAGTGTGATTATGTAATTGGAAATTCATAGACACTGGAGCTTCTTGCTGAGGTAGCTGTTTTGGAGGAGGAAGTCGTTAGGCTCGAAGAGAAAGTTGTGCATTTCAGGCAAGGATTGTATCATGAAGCTGTGTATATTTCGTCCTCCAAGAGGAATATGGATAATGTGACTGATACTATTGAGCAAAATCAAGTGAAGAGTCCGAAGCAGAAGCAAACGAAGCTATCGCCCCAACTAGAATCGAATTCAGCTTCATTCTCGGGAAGACATTTGCCTTCTCTCTCAGGTAATCTCGTGGAACTGGAATTCATTGTTGTTCCAGTTGTAAAAGGAAAATGATATTCATGCTTGTCAAGGTAATGGAGTAAGAGAGTGAGTTTATCCTTATGAAATTCATATTTTTTCAGATGACAGCTGCTTAAAAGAGAATCACTCATTGTCTTCCACGAAAAGCAAGCATCGATCAGTAAATGCGAAAGTGAAAACTGTCAGAACACCTGTTAAGAAGCTTCCTGCTGAGAACAGATTAGCAGAGAAGCGCGTAGATCCTCAGAAATTGCAGGTTGATAATTCGGTGACCTTCATTTTTTCCAAACTTAGAATCTTGTGCAGCATAACAGATATAGATTTTTTTACAATTGCAGCTAGAGGATCAAGTAATGTACCATGGGAGTCTGGAAGAGAGAATTTTTGTTACTCAAGATAGAAAACCGTCACCAGATGAAAGTCCAAACACAATCTCGGAAAATATTTTGAAATGCTTGTCGAATATTTTCCTCAGAATGAGCTCTAGGAAGGGCAGGACTACAGCAGATACATTGCCTTCATTGACAGGATATAATTCATGCGAGAGCATTGAGAAGAAAGAGTTTGGAGATCCTTATGGAATATGTTCAAAGTTTGAAAGGAGAGATATCGGTCCATATAAGCATTTATATGCAGTTGAAGCTTCTTCTGTCAATCCAAATCGAACAACAATATCTGTATTCCTAGTTCGTCGACTGAAGTAAGTTGGTAAATATATAGCTTAGTGAGATTATATAATATTTCAAGATATTCTATTAGGATGTTTTCTCACATACATTAGTCCTCTTTTCAGACTTCTGCTTGAGAAACTTGCGTCAGCGAACTTACAGGGCCTTAGCCACCAAGAAAAGCTGGCTTTCTGGATCAACATTTACAATTCATGCATGATGAATGTAAGATTTTAGATTTCAACAGTTTAGCGTGTTCTGTGTATACTGATTTATGAATACGCCACCTTCCAAATTCTGTTTTAATAATTAGTCATTCCGTCATTTGGTTAACATTTCAGGCCTTCCTGGAGTATGGCCTACCTGAGAACCCTGAAATGGTTGTGGCATTGATGCAAAAGGTAATGCTTCGGTGTCCTATCCTATCCGTGCAATATCAATTGTACTCCCTCATTCGATAAGCCTGATAATTCAATCAGTTGATAATGATATGATGCATTTTCTTTGCTTTTTAATTGGTGAAATTCTCCCTTTCACAGGCAACGATAAAGGTTAGTGGACACTTGCTTAATGCCATAACCATTGAGCATTTCATTTTGAGGTTGCCTTATCACTCAAAATTTGTAAGTCTTTTCAACTTAGGGAATTACCTTTTGTCCTGTTCATGCTTCTTGAGTTTAACTTACAAGTCTACCATGTTTGCATGCTCTCACCAGACTTTTGCTAAGGGTGTAAAGAATGACGAGATGACTGCACGCAGCGTCTTTGGCTTGGAGCTTTCTGAACCATTGGTGACATTTGCGCTCTCTTGTGGAAGTTTTTCCTCTCCTGCTGTAAGTTATAAGAGCCTTTTACCTCAAAATTTATTTACATCTAACATCCCAATTGTGTTACATAATTTTCGATTTGTATACAACACAAATGACCAACCTGAATCTTCATATTTTCTACTCTTCCATGCCTCTGTTATACACAACAATGCTAATTCCCGGGCTGTCTTAAATAGGTGAGAGTATACACAGCAGCAAATATTGAAAATGAGCTTCAAGTTGCAAAGAAGGAGTATTTGCAGGCATCCGTTGGCGTTTCAACATCAAAGAAGTTGGTAGCAATACCAAAGCTGTTGGACTGGTATCTGCTAGATTTTGCAAAGGATCTAGAGTCACTACTTGATTGGATATGCCTTCAACTTCCAAACGAACACGGAAAAGAAGCAATCAACTGCCTCGAGAGAAAGAATAACGAGCCTCTTTCCAACGTTCTCCAGATAGTGCCTTATGAATTTAGTTTCCGGTACCTTTTACACATGTAAGTTTTGTTTCTCAATAACCAAACTAGACTTACAAGTTTTTGGTGGTATAGAGAGGGATACAGATACATAGTTTAAGTTTAAGTGTATATTTTGTAAGTAAATTTTGACACTTGTGAGGGAGTAATTATTTATAGATTTCTAGCTGATTTACATCAAACAAACAATGTGGATTGAGTTCTTGATTGGGCTTTCTTTCTGTTTTTTTAGTTTTTTGGTTTGTTTTTATTTTAGCTGATTTTGTACATGAAAACACCAAAATCTTTTTGGCTCAATTTCTTTTATGAAAAATGTATCCTTCCAAAAACATGGCAAGATAACAGCTCTTGAGTTTTAGTATAAACAATAAGAATTTTCTAGTTAATTTTTATTTTATGTCCAAGAACTGAAAAGATGGCCAACTGTATATTATAATAGAAAGTGGAATCAAGCAGATTGTGTGAATGGAGACACACCATTATACAAATCTGTCAAACATTGAATTAAATTGGATTTGTTACTAATATTATTTGAAGAAGATATGCAGCTGGATCTTCCTCCATAATGTCTACTAGAGACAAATATAGACACTAGAATCCCAATTGCCATTAAATTATGTTCTATGTAGATCTATTTCTTCGAACTTTTCAAAAATGATGATATGTACGTGTTGGATTCTAAAAAAATAGTGCATCCTTTTAGAATCCAACATGCTGCGTTGTTATTTTTAGAGGATGGACAATGTAGCACAAAACATTCACCGAATAGAGTGAAGGTTTTTTATAATGTGTTGGGATTAATTTGTGCACACCTCGATTATTCATCAAGCACATGCATCAGGTAACTTAACTCTGTATGGAAAGAAATCACTTTGATATGTTTTTAATGTTAGCTTTTGGCACAATATTGATTTATTTACAATCCTAAAAATTTTAAGTAATTGAAAGTGCTTAAATACTTATGGAAGAGTAGACTTTACCCTGAAAGTGTGAAAGAAAATGAGGTTACTATTAGGAATATAAGAAGGTTGAGTGGGATTGACTGAGTTGGGTGGCATTTGTGCACATAGTTATGGATGCATGGAACATGCCAAATGATGCTAGGCTGTTAATAATGTGCAAACTATGTATTGGATAGTGACTTAGGTCACAGATTTGTTTCATCAATTATTTACATTTGACTTTAGTAAAGTGTTCATCTATAATCAGAGGTTTTGGGTTTGAGTCTTCCTGAGTATGAAATTGTCTTTATTAAGAAGTGGTTTATCCCCTAACGTGGAACTTTCTAATGTAAATTCGGATTTAATTGAATGCCAATGTGGATATCAAACACCAAATGAAAAACAAAAAAAATAAAGACTTCATAAATGTGTTCAATAAAACTTTCATGAATCCTGTACTTACCCCTCCAGCCTCCACTTCCTCCTCCTACTTTATGTTTGCTCATTAACGGAGGCAGAGGTAGAGGTAGATGCAGAATTTTGATTATTTGAATTTTAGATTTTAGAACAACAATTTCAAATACTTGTAATTGGATTATAAATTTAGAATATATATATTTGATTAGTTTATTAATACATAAATACTATTTGAACAATAATTACGATGAAATTGTTCTTATGTGGCATAGCTTGCTAGAGATATTTGGTTACTAGTAATTTAGAGAACAGACCACGTTAGATAGTTGGTTGTTAAGTGCACTATATTAATGCATCATTAAGACTAGACTATATTAGATAGTTGCGTGTTTATCCATCATTTATTGTATTATTATATTTTCGTTTTTTTTTTTTACGGTTATCGTATTATTTATTGGTGCTATTGTTCTATTTTCCATTGTTTCCTTTAAATACTTAATTTTTGATATGTTTTACTTGAAACAAGGGTCTATCATAAATAATTTCTCTATCTTCGCAAGGTAGGATAAGACTACGTACATATCACCCTCTTCAAATCACACTGAATATATTGTTATTGTCCTTGATAATTGTATATATTCACTAGAAAGTGAAGTGAATTGATGTTAATAAGGAGAATCTTCATTGTATAAGTCTACAAGGCCCTTAAATTTAGCACAAAAAGAGTTCTTATTTTTATTTTTGTTAAAAATGAAATCTAATATTCAAAATTAGAGAACCAACTATAAATGTGTGTCTAGTTCATGACATAATGCAAATTATTATTTTTTGGTTAATATGGGCTAGCTTACTTATGTAAACATAAAATTCTCTTCTAAAACCGAATGACAAAAAAACAATTTATCAATTTATAGATGTTGGAATATCATGACTGAGTCAGGATATTGAAAGGGAGTTAATCCGAATCCCTTTCCTTGAAACGAAGTTGGTTTTGACTTCTTTGTATATTTACGTCTTTATATTTTAAATCTTGTAAAAATTCTAGCTCTGTCTCACGCCTTTTTTTTTTACTTTGGGGAAAGGGCAAGCGTATGATTGAAGAAAACACACATGCTTGTTCAGAAAAGGACTTCACATGTTCATCAAGAATCCAATTTTGTCCCTAGCTCCACCAAAAAAAGTAAAGTCCTTAATTAGACATAATAAAAACTTTGTGGTCCTCAAGTTAACAAGTCATTTTCATGTGGGCCGGGTCATCATTTTGAAGTAAAGAACAAAATGCCTTTTTCCCTAAAGTGGATAGTTACAGAGATATCCAGTAACAAAAGCTAAACTCTATCCATATCCAAACAAAATTGGGCCTGGGCCCGTACATTTCAAGGCCCATTAAATTTGCATGCTTCTGAATTTCTTGCAGGCAAGTCATAAATATCAACACACGTTGCTGACATTAAAAAGTACTAATAATTATAGACGTCGAATTGCAAGTTTCTCTTTAGAGATAATAATTTTTAGCCTTTGAATGGCCTAATCTTTAATTTAAGGGCACGAGGCATAACATACGGAACATTACAATAACAATAATAATATATCCAATGTAATCCCACAAAGTAGAATTTGTGAGGGTAGACTTACACAAACCTTGTCACTACCTTAGAGATAAAGAGAATGTTTTTGATAGACCAACGCTCAAGAAAAAAAGAGTCTTAAAGTAGTATAGAGAAGAAAATGACGGAAATGAAGATAACCACGACAAAATACTACCGACAACCTGACAGATTATCCTAAACAATTGTCATAACAAGCTACGATGATAGTCTAAGTGTTAAAAAAAACAATAACTACAAATGACCCGATAAAAATTGTCTGAGGGATAAAAATTAAAGACCAACACAAAATAGGAACAGAAGTGCAAATGACCCGATAAAAAATGGCCAATAACTGGGCTTGTCATTAGCTGGTCCAATCGTTGTTTGTGCATCATGGTGGCCCATTAGTCTTTTTTCCACAAGGCTATCCTAAAAGCCCATAAAACTTCATTTAGGCCCAATGACGTATTTCTCAGTTTAATGATTAAATTTTAATTTGTTTCTTCTCTTTTTTTCTTTAAATTTCTCAATTTGACTCACAAGCAAAAAAATGATGAAAATATTTTCTCATGTTTGGAGATACGTGTAAAATGCTCTTTAGATGTACTCTTGAAAAGTTTTAGTCACTTAAGTTTGTTGAAAGTGAGCATCTTTAACTTTCGTCAAATATTTAACCAATTCTATTTGTTAAATTTAATAAAATTCCGCTTGTTATATGGTGGGTCCAAGGAGGAGGAGAACCTCATTGAGGTAGTATTACTTCATATTTTCTAGATAAGTGATGTAAATATAATCGAGCCATGAAGTTTAGAGATAGTTTTTACCTATTTTGTAGCTTTTTATTGGTTATATACCAAATAATTATCCCGAAACTAACTATATTTTAAATGTATTTATTGTACTGACACGTGTCCAATGTGTCCTATTAGATTATAGTAGTATCAATTTAAGTTAGAATTAATTTGCCACCTAAAAAATACCCCAACTTTTATTCTCTATAAATTAATTGGAAAATTTGACTGATCCCTAAAGTTTTTTAGATTTTAAACACCTTTGAGGCTAGTGGACAGGATTGAGAGTATTCTATTTTTTCAATTTCCATTTGATACTCGATGTAGGCACAATTAAATTAGATTCACATAATAAATCACTTCATTTAATTGTTTGAACTCGATCCCAAAATTATTTAGCTACAAGTTTGATGGTATGAATACCAATTAAAATTTGATTCTCCTCATGCATTAAATTGGAATTATTAGGTACAAAAGTCCAAATAACCGTCCCAACCACAATTGCACGAGTTGGATATTTTTTTAATAGTTGTATGTTTAATGTTCAGATATAATATTATTTCCTTAGATTCCATATCTTATATACTTTATTTTATTTTATTTTTTCTTCAAACTTTGGTAAAAGCTGTCACGTATACTTGCGTTCTAGAAGGTGACTTTAAAAGACAAACTTTTTTTGTGGTAGTAAACTAGAAATTAAAGTCGTGAGACTTCTGCAATTTTCGTCATACTCATACATTACTTTAGGGTTAGAAAGATTATTAAATTTTACCAAATTTACCAAATATCTTCGATGTCTATATTTATTTTGGGACAAACTAATTCAATAAATAAATAATTAATGTTTTTCCAATATTAGAGGCGCATATTTTCTCTCTGGAAATTATATTACCGCAAAGGGAAAAAAACACTAATTAAGATGCTATTTAGATCCCGTAGGTTATAGTTTATACTGTTGGTTAATTACTAACCATACAAACAAATTAAATAAATTATATCACTTTATTAGACATGTTATGCTTTTAAGAAATGCTTAAAGTTATTGACGGGAGGTTTATTCCGTCTAATCATCTTAAAATTTATAGCTGATTAATTTGAAATTAAAGAAGGAATGATAACGACTTCATCTTAAGAGAAAATTAGAGGTTGTAAGACTTTAAGCGAACCAAAATGCAGGCATATAATAAATATCTAGACCTAATAAATATCTAAATCTAATTTTAAAATAGTTAATTTGAAATTAAATAAGGCACGATAACAACTCCATCTTAAGAGAAAATTAAAGGCTATAAAACTTTAAGCGAACCAGAATGCCGACATATAATAAATATCTAAATCTAATTTAAAGCTAGTTAATTTTTAATTAAAGAAGGCACGATAATGACCTCATCTTAAGAGAAAATTACAGCTTATAAAACTCTAAGCGAACCAGAATGCAGCGATATAATAAATATCTAAATCTATTTTATAGCTAATTAATATGAAATTAAAGAAAGCATGATAACGACTTCATCTTAAGAGAAAATCAGAGGCTACAAGACTTTAAGCGAACCAAAATGCAGACATATAATAAATATCTAGACCTAATAAATATCTAAATCTAATTTAAAGATAGTTAATTTAAAATTAAATAAGGCATGATAACGACTTCATCTTAAGAGAAAATTACAGGCTATAAGACTTTAAGCGAACCAGAATGCAGACATATAATAAATATCTAAATCTAATTTAAAGCTAGTTAATTTTAAATTAAAGAAGACACAATAATGACTTCGTCTCAAGAGAAAATTACAGAAATAAGACTCTAAGCGAACCAGAATGCAGACATATAATAAATATCTAGATCTAATAAATATCTAAATCTATTTTATAGCTAATTAATATGAAATTAAAGAAAGCATGATAATGACTTCGTCTTAATTTTTTTTTTACAGGCTATAAGACTTTAAGCGAATCAAAATACATACATCTAATAAATTTCTAGATCTATCTTTTGATACTCTAATGGGAATTGGGAGTAGTGTGCATTTTATGTGCCTAATCAAGAGGGGGCAAGGTAGATCTAGTGGTGGTATGCTAAATTGCCAAGTATGGAAGGAGTTTGTAGTAGGTTACATATTGGGGGTCCATGTAGGGCTATATGATTTGCTAACCACAATCTAAGTCAATATCATAGCCTGAGCCAAACATATCTCATGCTGAACCGTCTCAATTTATGTGTCAAAACTTAAATTTAAGAGTTAAATAATTTAAATTTGACTGTGAATTTGATCATGAAAATTTTAAATTTTCTGAAATCAAAATATTTAAAAGATATATAAAAAAATTACGATAAAAAATAGATTTGTTCGAATTTCGATATTCGAAAGATGGCACATAAATTACAACATATAACATAATATAAAAGCCTATCTAGAAGCTATGAACTAGTCATGAATAACCTAATTTTTGAACAATTAATTCAATTAAATATAAATGTCAAAGTAGAATAACAGCTGTAGGGGTAGTATGGTTCCAAAATTAGAGGATTAATAAATGTAATTCAGCTAATAAATAGAAGGAATTTTCTTATAGGTTGGTTGGTGAAGGACTGTTTAAAAGAAAATTAGGAATTTCAATCTAGAATTAGTTTGACATTCGGTATAGTTAACTTCTAAAATTAGGAATTTCAATCTTGAATTAGTTTGACTTTTGAAAGTTAACTTCTCTAGGTAATTAAATAATGAGCAACTTTCACATATAACAAATATTAAAATTTTAGTATTGTATAATCTCACATTAATTTGAACTGAGTTCACCAATTAGTTTAAGTATTCTAAAAACTTATTTTCGGTATTTATATCATGTCCGAAATGCATATCATATTGTATTTGTATGCATAGAATTTTAGTACTTAACTATAGTTAATTAATTTTAATTTTTTACTTTATTAAATGATTTCATCAATATATATTTAAAGCTTCAACAACAATATCTATTTAAATAAAATTAACTGACCATTCAATAAACTGTAAGTGAATGATATTTTTGAAAAATAATTCAAACTTTTTACACCTTGAGAAATAAAATTTTAAAATGTAGATATCTTTTGGTAATATTATTGTTATTATTATTATTACTACAATTATTATATTTTTATTATTATTAGAAGAAGAAATGGTGTTCACCTTTTTGTCAAAAAAATTATACTATGCATATATGATTAAATTTTTATTTTATGTATATATATATATAAAAAAAAAAAAATTGGAAAAAAAATTCTTGACAAATATTTTGGCTCCGCTACTATTAATAGGACAGAAAATATTCATCCACTTATAATTAGAGATCTCAAATTTGAAATTTATGAATAATTTTTTTTAATTAAAAGCATTTTTTCTTTTAATCATTCCTACATGTTGCAAATGTGAATTTATTGATAGTAAAATAACCTTTCCATTTGCATGCAATGATGCAAAATAATTCAACACAAAACAACAATTAGTCAAAGGAAATATATAGTTGTTGAAAAGGCAGAATTACTTTTTGTTATGTTAATTACTGAGCAGCAGTAATTTTGAAGCCTCGTTTTCCCTTATTATATTACCACTAATAATCTTGCTTCCCACGTTAATTATATAGTATAATAAAAATATAATGATAAACCTATCTTTTATTATTCGAATTATCTCACTTGTAATCAATTTGTCTTCACATTAGCCAACCTACTATATAGTTTGAATATTACTAGAACATTTGTTTTAGAATAAACCACCCTTAAATCAGAAAAAATCACGTAACTTTCCCTTCTATTTCTTTAATTAATTTTTTTCTTTTTTAAAAAGCATCCCTTATTTATGCAATTAATTCAATATTATTTGTACTATTAACTTTCTTTTTAAAAAATAGCTCAACCTTTGATGAATTTATGCGGCCTTTTATTTATTATTTCTAAATTTAAAAAGAAAAAAATGAAAGAAATAAAATATTCTTCATTAATAGACTTATTATTTTAATTTTTTAAACTTCATCGCCTTTTAATTCTCCAACAAGTTATAGACTAATAGATAACTTGGTCACAACGATTTCATACCCATACTTTAATAATATGGAGCCACCTTTGATAACGATCATTTTATCTCAATATAAATTTATCGATGCAAGGTTGGATCAATTGAGTATATCGAACACTAAATTGAAAAAAAATAAAATATTTTTAACACAAATGACAGACCTAGGACTACAGAATTGTCAAACTAGAGGGTGCTTTTTTGTAATTACACAAGATGATTACGCGTGGCTCTACTCTATTCAATTATATGTAATTCTTCCATGTCATTTTCCAAGTATCTTTAACTTTTACTTGAAGGACAATCCAAAATTTATATAATTGTGGGTCATTAATCATCATATACTTTCACCAATGACGGACTCAAAATTTTCATTAAAATATAAAAAATAAATATATAAACTATTCGAAAAGAATTTAACATATACTATTAATCATGTATGAATAATGCAATTTTTCATTGATGGGGTTTCATCCAAACCCTCTAACTTCAGACTAGCTTTGCCCTGCCTTTAAAGGTGGAGTTAGAGTTTTAGTTAGAAATTCAAATAAAACTTAATAAATTTGATCAAAAAATTATATTTATATTATTCTTTTATAAAATATATGCAAATAATTTATTTGGATCACGAACAAAATATATATTTTTAAAAAATATTGAAAACACTCTTAAACTTGGCATGAACTATTAGTTTCGTCGCCGAACTATTGACAACTTTAAAAACACTCATCTACTTGATTAATTAAACTTAAATACACCTTTAATCTTACCACATGTATGGAATACACCCATAAATTCTTGTCAAGTTTAAAGATGTTTTCAATATTTCTCTCAACTTTTTATTTAGAGCCCCACACACCTATAAGAGTTTGAGATTACTTGTTATGTCATGTGATAAATCGAAGTTATATCTAAATTCAATTAGTCAAGTAGAAAAATATTTTTAAAAATAGCTGATCTAAGAACAAAACTAATAATTCACATAATACACACGTTCAAAAATATTTTTAATATCTCTCTCAAAATATCATAAACTCAAAATTCTAAATCGCCGTTACGTACAAATCAACCTAACATGTGTCCCAAGAAAACATGGCAAATAATATTTGTAGAAATGTAATAAAAGGCGGCTCTTTTCTTGATTAGAATTTAAACTCATTAACCCCACATTTTAGTCAATAATATTTAGCTCTCCTCTTTCTTTCTTCTTCCTATAATCTTGTCTTCTCCAATTTCATTCTTTATATAAACATCTTTAAAAAAAACACCATTTCTCTGTTTCTCACAAACAGAAACCAGCAAAAAAAGTTTAATTAAAAATGGAAGTTATGATTCCATTTAACGATATGGATAATTTCGATTTCAATAGTGCAAGATCAACCCCATTTACTAGTCCACCATCAACACCAAAGCCCTTTAATGGAGATTTTTACTTCAGTGCTCCTCCAAGCCCAACTCATCTCTCCCAATTTTATAGCGAATTTGAAAGTTTATTCGTTGCTGAAGCTGATGATAAGGCTGAAATTACTAGCCATGTTGATGAGTTTGCTTTCGATGTTAGTCAAGAATTGGAAATTGGCTCTGTTTCAGCTGAAGAATTGTTTGATGGTGGTATGATTAAACCATCCCCTGTTTTACAAATTCAAAAGAAAAACAGAGTAGGAGTTTCTGCGAAAAACAAAAAAGTTCAACAAACAGAGTATTCAAGAAAAAGTAGTATAACAGAGAGAGAAAGCAGGGGAAAACAGAGAGGTTCGTCGAATGGGTTGTCGAATTCGTCGAGCAGAAGATCAACAAGGTCACTTTCACCTATGAGAATTTCACAGTATTCATGGGAAGAAGAAGAAGATGAAGAAATGAAAAATCAATCTTCGAAATCGAATGCGTCTACATGTTCAATTTTGTCCTCATCATCATCTAAAGGAAGTAAAAAATGGAGATTCAAAGATTTTTTCTTGTTTAGGAGTGCATCAGAAGGAAGAGCATCAGATAAAGATCCATTGAAGAAATATACAGTTGCTGGTTGCAGAGAAGGAAAAAGTTCGAGCTCTCGGGGAAATGAAAGCTCTGTTTCTTCTCCATCATCATCAAAATCAATTGTTAGCACAAAAAAGGGAAAAGTTTCAGCTCATGAATTGCATTACACAGTAAACAGAGCACTTTCATCAGATTTGAAAAAGAAGACTTTTTTGCCTTATAAACAGGGCATTTTGGGGCAATTGGCTTTTAATCCTGCTGTTCATGCATTGGCTAATGGCTTTGGATTATCAAGAAAATAATTTTTTTGATATTCAATGTTCGAGCGGTGAAATCAATCACTCAAGTCTCGATTAGGTGAGTTGCGACTTTTTTCAGAACCTATCAAAACACGAAATGTTTCGAATCTCAAGGAGTGAGGTGAGGTGCAACCGTTTCCAAAACCTAGCAGCACACGAAATATTTCGTACACAAAACTTTGTTATTAATTCCATTTGTTCTTTTCTCTTCTTTTTTTTGTATAGACAATAGCTGTCTTATATTTTCTTTTTTTTCTTGGTTTATGTAATGTTAGTTATTTTGTTTATGAGTAAAAGGAGTGGTTATTGTCAAAAAAAAAAATAGTGACACATATCCATATTCCTATGTAAGTTTTACTTTGGTAAGCTAGATTAGATGAATAATTCCTTTTTTTCATAAGGGATTAAACTTTAATATACTCTATATATATATATATATACACTAATAATAATTTTTAGTAAAAATTAGATCTCATACTTTTCAGGCGATTGCACCAAAAAGTTTGAGTTTATGATCAATAACAACTACAATATTATTATTCTATTATCATGTTTGAATTCTTATAGGTTTGTGCAAGTAGAACTCTAATTACTTTTCTTTTTTGATATATTTATTAATTTGTACTTTTTTTTAAATCGCAACAACAATTACGTCACAATACGGGCATATCAATGACTACTAGCTCCTATAATTCAAGTACACATCAATTTTCGAACATTATTATTATTCGTTGCATTTAAATGAGTATGTGTGAAGTTGAACCATTTTTAATCCATCAAATATAAAGGGGGAGGGAGAAGAAAAAGTGTGCTAAAAAGATAGTGTAACCTATAGAACATTAGTTATTGCTATTTTTTTTCAACTTATAGCATTTTTAGAGTTTTACCTCTAATACTTTACTATTGATTCTGACATTCGGTTATATAAATATTTTTCACACCTTTGATGCATAAAACTAAACTACATTTCAAAATTAATCTTACACTTTGTAAACTTACCATCGCTGTCTTGTAGATGCATACAGAATAAGTTTTGTTACATAGTATAATAGTCCACAAATCATAATAAGCAAAAATTTGTCTTTCGTAAACATTCTCCTAGCATGGCAAAATGAATATCATGGGGGAAAACATGAGCATGTGCAATTTTGAAGACAAAAAATGTTAGTGGTACAATTTAGTCAACAATACGTGCAGTATACTTTTGACAATTCTCAACCCTTTAATAAATGACAAATATGGATCCATCAATTTATGATATGCTTTTGCATTAAATTAATATCATATATTGCAATTCGTTTTTCTCATGTCTTGTTAGTTGAGATGTCTATCTTTCTTCGTTTTCTAGTCACTCAATAATCATGATAATATCAACTACTATCAAATATGTTTTAAATATTTTTTTTTTATATAATGATTTTAAATTTGAAAAATATTTGTGTTTTTTTCCTCTCAAAATCTAGATTGATTTCGACCGACAAACATGTTGTTCGACATTATTTACTAATTAATTTAAAAGAAATTAAATTAGATGGTCACCTTCTTTTACATAGTGTGCATATTATTTTTTAAATATAACACGCCACTAAATTATCGAATTATTCTTCATGCCATTCTATTTTCAATAATCTTTGTTGAGACAATATTATTTTACACATATTAATCAAACATCTAGATCTTTATAAATTATACCCTATAGTCAAACAATAATACATTTTTTTTTAATTTAAAGTAGAAATAAAGATAAATTAAGGTAAGGTATTGTGTATCAACAAAATATGCTCTGTTACGCCAATAAATGACAAATTTGACAGAAGGCCATTTTTGAAAAGTAGTGAATTTTTATTATTTTCGTATTTATTTGATGCAACTTGATGTGTATGATTATTCTGTTATTGTTCTATTTAATTGGCTGTGTAGATTATATTTATTTTCTTTTGAACTTCTAGAAGAGCCAAATTTCTATCCACACGTAGATAAATCAATAAATAGAATAGAATATAAAGAATACACAAAACTGAATATGACCGGTATCTTACTTATTCATTGAGTTTGTTTAGAAAAACAATTAAAAATTCTAGTCTACCAGACGTACCATCAATACTGTTTGTGAAAGGTACTTAAAATAATTTCTAACTTCTCTCTACTAAACTAGCTGGTTTTGTATTAGTTTGGCCTAAAAATTTTAAGTTTGATCATGCATCGTGGGTCCATAACCATTTTATTATCTATTTATGTGGTTGATATATACCTTGATTATTGGTAGGATGTATCATTTACGGATTGAGGTTATTTATCTCTTAAATTTTATTAGTGTAACATAACATATTGTTTGTTTTGTTAGAATCAATAAAAAGAATTAAAAGAAAAATAATCATGCGCTGGTAATGTATGTGAAACTCTTTATTTGATTTTTTTAATCGTTATTCGATACTTGAATTAAAATTTGACTAAATTTAAATTTATATTGAAAAGACTCACTTTTGATAATGCAAGATCTTAAATTCATACGCTTAAATCCGAGACTTTTAATTATTTACTTTTTCATCCTAATCGATGTTGGTATATATGAACGTCTTTACTGTCTTGCGTTATATGAGGTGTTTTTACAATAGAAAAAAAAACACAAAAATGGACAATAACAAGACACGTTTAAAATATAGGCAGAAGGTTTATTTTTATTATTATTTAACCGCAAAAAAGTAAAGTTGGATCTATATTAGCTTAAAAATAAATATTTTTAAAAATTTCTAATGCAATTATTTCAGTGCACATGTCCTAATTGCTTCGCTTGAAAGTTTACTGAAAGATTAAGAAATGGTCAAATTTGCAAATCTTGCATGTGTTTAGTGTCTCTTGAGATGATGTTAAAGTTAAATGTTAAATTAAAACACGTTTTTATGTATTGGAAAAATAGCTATTAGGTTGGGTCAATCCATGCTAAGCTCGTTATTTCATTAGCTTGTTTCTCCTAATCTTTATTTATAACGTATAAATATGATATTAGAAAGACGATAATTTTTTACATAAAGAGGATATTTAGATCATGGACAAAGAAAATTCATAAGCTCCGTGAGAATTCTCGATGACCCAATGACACGAGTCATAGATGTATCTGCCTTCGCTAAAATCAGAGACCTATAAATCTCCTAAATCAATATTTACACCAAAATACTACACTACAATTTTGAAGCTAAACAGTATATTTAATTACTGTTTAGCTAAATATATCATATTGCTCATTTTTGTCTATTTGCTCAAACTTTCCTAATCCAAATCATTCTTTTCTTGTATTTTCTCCTTATGTCATCATTTTTTTTTGTTAAATAATAGACATTAATAGGAAGGATTAGAATAATATAATATCAAAAGGGACAAAATTTGCTTAACTTGTTCTCCAATATTCTTTGAATTTTAGAAGAAGATAGGATATATAATTTTATAAACGATAAAACTTATGCACATGTAGTGTTTAGATCAAATCACTGCAATACTTTTAATATACACATTGTCACTTAATCGTTAGTCTCAATTTATTTTTAACTAAAGAAATAATTAAATTATTTGGTCTGTTATATCATGGATAGTTCACACTTTTATAAATGTATCTTTATATTTTTATCGAAACAGAAAGTTTCACCATGTTAAAAATGGGGTTAGCAGAGAAAGAAAGAACATGCATTCATTTCTGAATGAATATTCATTGTTGAGTCTACTAAAATAGGGACCAATTTCATCGTGGTGATAAGAGGACACCTTCCCTCCCACTTATATGATCATTGGGATCGGTCGGCTAGAGAACGGGGCTATTCTTCTTCAAAAGACAAAGTTGTCCCTTCTACTGACCGAACCCTCTGAAAATGGGCCTCTTCCATTCCCTGCAAGACATTTTGGATCAATATATACCAGAAGTCCATGGGCCTTATTCCTTGGGCCTCAAATAGTTAAAACTGGACTTGTAATTTGCATTTTTAAAAAAATTAACCAGCCCAATGAATTATATGGCCCACTGGTCAATTTGGACTACAGTCCAATTCTCAAAGCCCAACACGGTTTTCAATTGAATGAAGTGAAAAAATTCTAATATGAGTAATGACATATATTATACTAATATTTTCGAGTTATAGCAGTAGATTTAGACTTTCAAGTTATAACATTAAAAATTCCAGGTTGTAACAGATTATTAAAAAAAAGGTTATTTTTAATAATTAAAAACATTTGATTTGAAAACAATAAAAAGATAAAAAAAAAATTAAAATAAAACGTTTTTGAAGGAAAAAATGAAAAAAAGGGAAATAGGGGTGACAATTAAATTTGAATTAATTTAAGATAATTATTAATTAGCATGAATTAAGGAATTTCAAACTAATTAAGAATATTATGTTTCCTTAATTCACTCCAATTTGTTAAAATTAATTTAAAATTTTGATTTTATCCATTTTTTTTTTCACGTTTCTCTCTCTTCGATTTTCTTCCAGAAATTGTCACTGGCGACAAATTGATTTTTTTTTTTGGTTTGAAAAAACCTGTTTTTTTTTTGTGATGGACAACTACTTAAATAAAATTTGAATTGATTGATGATAATTATTAATTAGCATAAATTTAGGAGATTCAAACTAATTAGGAATATTTAGTTTTCTTAATTCACTCTAATCTGTTAAAATTAATTAAAAGTCTGTATTTTACCCATTTTCTTCTACGTTACTCTCTTCTTTCGTTTTTTTTTCTAGAATTGTTGTCACTGACGAGTAAATCTAAGTTTTTTTTTGTTTGAAAAATCTTGATTTTGTTGTGATGGACGACTGCTTATCTATATTAATTAAATATGGTGGTAGATGGGATCCTTCAGGTTGAAAAAATGTTGGTATGAATAATTGGATGTCAACTATATACAGTTTGGATACCAATTATATGGTGTTCATTTTGATCTCCAATTTTATAGATAAACTAAACTGTTTATGTATCCATTTGTTATGTAGTTTGTATATAACTGATATCCAAAAATTTGTATCCAATTGATATGCAGTCTGTATATAACTAGTATCCTGAAATTATGAGAGTCAATCTGTAATTCATATGTAGTTGATAACTGACTTGAAGAAAACAATGCATATTCTATATCATTCAATACTTAAAACTGTATCAAAAACAAATATATCTCGTTCAAAAGTTAAAAAGACATGAAATACTAAAGAGTCTAAGCTGCAATCAACTATCTCAAATTTGATCTCCGTAGTTTTGGTGTAGGATAATTGCTGGTATCTGGAGCATGTTCTTTTGCTATGCGGGATCCATCAAATTTGCTAGCAACAGTCCCAGTTACTTCACTCTCACTGATCGCGCCATCATCATTCTTTGTTTATCCACATTGCCATCAACCTACTTGGAGAAAT